GGGGGGTGGCTGATTTCGTTTGACCTACTCTGGGTCGCACAGAGGGGGCAGGACTGGGGGGTGGTTGGCTTGGCGAAAAGCTGCATCTGTTGTTTTAAAACAAGTCAGTTCACGGGTTTTGCTTCTTCAGTTCAGTGGGAGATAAACTTGGGAACCGGAGCTTGAGTTTGTGTCTCTCCTGGGAGAGAGGGAGGCTGAGAACTGTTGAGGGGAATTTTTGGGGTCTTTGCTTCTCTGGGCTGCTCTGCGAAGCCAAACTCCAGCTTGTTGGAACTTTGCTGAGGTGCATGGTGCTTCTGCCACAAGTCTGGAGTCCGGGATGGTTTTTGACAACCCTTTCGTTTACCAGGAGGGTTTTGGGGAGGTCTCACTACCCTAGGAAGGAACCCCAGACCCTGCACCTGACCGGGGCTACCCCTGGGTGTGGGGAGGAAACGGCTGGATCGCACCTTCTCATATTTGGGGACTCATCTCTTTCTCACCCCCCCTTTCTCCTCCCTTACTTGGTCGGTGCCTGCAGGGCTCACAGTATGAACTCAAAGACAACCCTGGGGTACACCCTGCTACCTTTGCAGCCCACACAGCGCCGGCCTATTACCCCTATGGCCAGTTCCAGTATGGGGACCCAGGGCGGCCCAAGAACGCCACGCGGGAAAGCACGAGCACGCTCAAGGCCTGGCTGAACGAGCACCGCAAGAACCCCTACCCCACCAAGGGCGAGAAGATCATGCTGGCCATCATCACCAAGATGACCCTCACGCAGGTCTCCACCTGGTTCGCCAACGCGCGCCGGCGCCTCAAGAAGGAGAACAAGGTGACGTGGGGTGCTCGCAGCAAGGACCAGGAGGACGGCGCCATCTTCGGCAGCGACACTGAAGGCGACCCTGAGAAGGCCGAGGACGACGAGGAGATCGACTTGGAGAGCATCGACATAGACAAGATTGACGAGCAGGACGGTGACCAGAGCAACGAGGACGACGAGGACAAGGCCGAAGCGCCGCGAGCGCCCGCTGCCACCGCCCCGCTCGCCCGGGGCCAGGGCTCGCCTCTGGGCGCTGGCGAAGAGCTCAAGCCTCAGGACTCGCCCCTGGGCCTGGCCAAGGAGGCTCCGGAACCCGGTAGCACGCGCCTGCTGAGCCCCGGCACCGGGGCCGGCGGCGTTCAGGGCGCACCGCACAGCAAACCCAAGATCTGGTCGCTGGCCGAGACGGCCACCAGCCCCGACGGCGCAACCAAGGCCTCGCCGCCGCCGCCCGCTGGCCACCCTGGCGCTCACGGGCCCTCGGCGGGCGCGCCGCTGCAGCACCCTGCCTTCCTGCCCAGCCACGGACTCTACACCTGCCACATCGGCAAGTTCTCCAACTGGACCAACGGCGCCTTCCTGGCACAGGGCTCTCTGCTCAACATGCGCTCCTTCCTGGGCGTCGGCGCGCCCCACACGGCGTCCCACGGCCCGCACCTGCCTGCGCCGCCGCCTCCTGTCGCCGTGGCCGCTGGGGCGCTGCAAGGAGACAAGGCCTCCGCCCGCAGCAGCCCAGTACTCCCAGGTACCGCCCCTGGCGGGGAGGTGGGGTCGGGAAGCAAGGGCGAGAGGCCTGGGCTGCCGAATTTGTGGCTGAGCTGGGAGCCGCATCCTAATCCGCTGAGAGAAGCCAGGAGGGCATTTGGGCGCGCTATTCCCCGCGCTCTTGCGGGAGTAGCCTGGGGAGGAGGCCTGAGCCACTCTGGCGCCTTTTCACCCCCACCCGTCCCATATCCTAACGCTTTGCTCTTCCCCTTCCTGGCAGAGAGAGACCTCGTCCCCAGGCCGGATTCTCCGGCGCAGCAGTTAAAGTCGCCCTTCCAGCCAGTGCGCGACAAGTGAGTGCGCCTTGCTTTTATCTTGGGGTGTGTGGGGAGTGGGGGGGTGGAGGTGGTGGTGGTTAAAAGCTCAGAGCCTGGGGGTTCGAGTGGGGGGCAGGGAGGGAGCATCGGGAGGAGTGAGGGAGGGCGTCTGCGCCCCGGGGTGGGGTGCCAGGCCCTGCCCTGCGCCTAGGCCAGGCAAGTGGTCTTCTTTGGATCCGTGAGCCGCCGCGCTGGGGAGGCCACCTAACCCCGGGGAGCTTGGATGGTGGAACTGGCGCCGCTGGGTCGCTGAGCCTCTCTATTGACAAGGATCCCTGTCTTCTTGTCTTGCTGTGTCTCCCCTGCAGCTCCCTGGCCCCGCAGGAGGGAACGCCTCGGATCCTAGCAGCCCTCCCATCGGCCTGATGCCTGGGCCTCTTTTAACTTTTGCGGGGGGAGGGGGGAGTAGGGGAGGGAAAGGGATGCGGGAGGATTTAAGACAAATTTTTCCGACTGGTGTAAAGGACAAATGAGGCCAAGATGCCAATGATTCCCATCCATCGCTTTTAGCTAAAAGGGGTTCTTCCAGGCCCAGCTCCCCGGCTTCCTGAGGCCCGGCCCAGGCTGGGTGGCGCTCAGCTCGCCATTCTCTGACCAGTTCTCCGTGCGGTCGGTCAAAGCCCCACGTGCGCGCGTCCTGTGTGTCTTTCTTCTTTCTGTACATAGCGTGATTTCAGGTTGTAAATAGCGCGTCAGCAAACTTGTCTAAATCATATATTTTTGTCTAATAAACGAAACGAAACGAAGACCGCTGGCCCTGCTGCTCTGTGTGCCGGACTGGGTAGTAGTGACAGCAGGACAAGGGGGTGTCCAGAGTCCGGACTGCCAAGGCCCTGTTCTTGGGCACTTTGGGGAGAGCAGCACCTTGGGAGGGTCTGCTGGGGACCTCGGGTTCACCCAAGCCCCTGATGTCTCTGTCCTTGCTGGTCTTGCTGTGGGTCTGGTAGTGTGACTTGTTCATTGTTAATGTTGTCAGCAGGATAGGTTTAAATCTTTCTCAAGTTTAATTCTTTCTCAAGGATTCTACAGTCGTTCTTATCTGGGGGCACGCCTTTCTCGGGACATAAATGAGTTCCACGGGAGGCAGTTGTTAAAATGACTATTTTTAAAAGTAGACAAAACAGAAACTGTGGGGAAGAGGCAAAGCTTTTCAATCTGGCCCCTAAAGGAGGTCGGAAATCAATTTATGACCCAGTAACTCCACGGTGCACGGTGGTGCTGGGCTGTTTTGTGGCTGGAAGTGAGGGCATAATGGAGTATGGAATTTTGCTCAGAATGTATTTTTGAGTGACTTTGTTCAATCAAACATGGACAGGCTCTTTTAAAGTTGTCCAATAGGCAGGCAGAATCGCGATGGGTTCTCTGGAGGGTTTGTTGAAGAGAGCCTGAGGCCCCTACAGCTCGAGGGTGTGGGTCGCAGAGAGAAAAGGGTGCCTCTGTCTCCAGGGGTGCCCCTTTAAATCCTTGCATTGTGGTCCCATTCGGTCCTCTAGTCCGGGATTGAGCCCATGAACAAACACAACCACAGACGCCAGAAGTCGGGGTGGCCTGGCCTGGAGATCGCTGGCAGAGGCAGTAGGCCTGTAGGCCGGCCGGACTGGGCTCATTTCATTGGGACCTAGGGAAAGCGCCCAGGACAATCAGTGCTGGTGCTCCTCCGGAAGCTGGTGCTCCAGTCAAAAGCCGCGCCAGCCTTCCCGGAGAGGCCTCTGCGCTAACGACTTGGTGCGGAAGTCGCGCACAGGGAGAGAGTGAAGGTTTCCAAAACGGAGCAGTGAGTACAGGTAGCTGCTGGAGTCATGGGGGCTCAGGGGGAGGGCCAAGTGCCTGCCAAGTACTGTCTGGCCCCTGCCCAGGTCCGGAGGCCCACCCTCCAGCCCCCTTCCCGCCCCCCAGCGCTGCCCGCGCGGCAGAGTCGCGGCTCTGGGAGGAAGAAGCGGGGGCCTTGGGGAAAGGTCATTTTGTGTTGGGGGCCACAGGCGCGAACCCGCGGGCCCAGCCACACACCCCACCCTCACCCTTGCTTTCTTCTCCGGCTCCCCGTCCCAGCCCCCGCCCTCCCAGTGCAAGGCGGACTCCTTCCCCGAGCCATGGCGGGTGGAGAAGCGAAGGGCCGCAGACGTGGACGGCCAGACTCACTTGGGGCGCGACGAGGCCGGGGCCCCGAGGAGCCAAGCCCGGGCCGGAGCAGTGGCTGGCGCGGGCTGCGACTCCGCGTAGCGCTCAGCAGTAAGAATTGGGCGGGCTCGCGGCGCCCTCTATAGGCTTAAGGCGGAATAAGGCCGAGGAGGCGCCTGGCTTGCTCCCCAGGCTTGATCCACATCTTGGGGTACGCGGCTTCCGGGGTTGCTGTGGGCCAGAACCTGGTTTGGGGCGGTGATACCGGTTCAGTGTTCCAGGAGGCTATCCTTGAACCTTGAATAAGGGTTGGGGTAGGCTGGGTAGGCAGCTGGCATTTAGGAGGCTTGTGGTGTGGGTACCTACCTTGAGGCAGGGTGTACCATTTTCGGGGTGACGCTCATGGAATCCACGAGGAGCTCCCAGTTTGTGCCGTACGTCAGGATTTCTGGGATCAGCAGTTATGGGCTGCACACCCCAGAAAGCCTGGAAGTAGGTGCATACTCAGGCCAGGTGGGGACTGCATCCTTGGTGAGACTGTGGGTGCAGAGGACAGGGGCTAGCCAGCTGGTTGGATGCTGGAATGAGCCAAGGGAGTGTGTGGGGTGGGCGTGGGGGTGGGGTCAGGGTCCAGCCTCCAGAGTGACTGGACAGGCCCTCTGCTGATGGTGGGGAGCAGCAAGTGGGATTCTGGTGGGGGACACCAGTTCTCTGTCCCAGGCTAGGCTCCACTCTTACCCTAGCTCTTGTCAGCATTGCCCCAGCCCCCTCCCTGTCCCCTGCCCCCATTCTGGTGCTTTCTTTCCCTACCTGCAAGACACTGGGGGCCCCATCTGGATTGGGTGACAGGGGTTTCCAGGACCACAGAGCCCACTACCTGGACTACTGTCTTGGGCTCCGGCTCTTTCCACTGCACAGAAATCGGATCGCCAGCCTGGGGACTTTTTCCCCAGTGAAGTGTTAGAGATGAATTTTTAATCAGGTGTCATTAGCATTGTTTTGCCCTTTGTCGCCCTTTGTCCCCGGTTTCTTCCAGCCATTGCCCACCTTGCTGCCAGCCCCTTGAGGAGCAGTGTCCCACTTGGGGGCCCCCAAAGTGTCAGGGCATTGGCCTTTGCTTCCCAGGCTAAGCCCTCCAGCCCTCCAAAACTTTCTGTCTGTGCTCAGAGGCCACCCTCTCCACCCCTACTTGGGAGCACAGCTTGATGAGGAACAAGGGGAGGTGAACTCCAGAGGATTGGGTGCCAGATGCCAGCTGGACACCTGTTCACCACCTGGGGGGTTCCCCCTTCCCTCTAGAGCCAGGTTCCCAAAAGGAGGGACAGCATATTCCCACATAGACTCCAGGACCTACCTTAGTTTCAAGGGATGAGAAGGGAAAATCGGGACTTCTCTGCTATTCCATCTGCAGGCAAGACCCTCTTTTCCACCAGGCCCTGGGGCCCTGGGACCCCACCCCAGCTGTTGGTCTGCTGGAGAATTGAAATCTTCCTGCCCCCGTCGCCCTTCCCTCCATCCTCCGATCAATTATTCACCAGCACATTTATCTCACCGCAATATGGCAGGATTCATATTCATATCTCGGTTTTAGTGGTCTGACACTGATTAATGTAATCTGCACCCTGGCTCCCAGGCCCCCCACCCCCACCCGATGAATCATGCCCTATAAAGTTTCAATTGTCCTTGTAGATGGACTCTGTTGGGAGCTGGAGGGGTCTGAGGAGCAGGAGGAGGAAGAGGAGGAGGGACAGGGATACAGAAGGAAAGACACAGGCACAGGGTTTGCTGGGCCGGGTTCCCCTGGACCAGTGCTGGTCTTACAGTGTCCATGGGGGGTCTGGCCCCCTCGAAGTCCCTCCCCGCTACCCTTCCTGGTGGTAGGAGGCCCAACAGACCCAGGACTCCCAGCTACAAAGCTGTGGCCCAATGGGGACTTAGCTGCTGGGTGGATATTGGAGGGCAGTTAGGGCCAAGGTTGCAGGCCATGCTGATTTGCCTCTGGGCCACCTAGCAGGGTCTGAGCAATGGACATCAGGCCTGCTGGGCACCAGGGACACAGGTTTGGGGACCCCACCATGGTGTCTGCTCAGGGTGGGTCACCTCACAGGACAGAAGGCTAGCTGGAGTCAGCCAGGCTCTTGTTCCCCACCAATCAAAGCGGCCAGTGTTGGGTGCCCCCTGAACATGCACATTGCGGTCCCCACAGCTTTTTAGGCCTAAGGGAGAGTCCTTCCACCTTGCTGCCTGCAGGTGAGGCACTGGAGGGGAGCTTCAGCAGTGTAGGGGGCCACCTTAGAGGTATTCCATCTTGGGTCGGATCCAGGAGGTACAGCTGGGCCACAGAGGGGAGGTGACCTGTGGGTGGAGACAGCACCTGGAAGGAGAACCTAGTATCCCAGCGCTGTGAGTGGGGGAGGGGATAGAGAGGTGGGGTGAAGGGCACATAGAGAGGGAAGGGGTGAAGGGTGTCTTGCAAAGATCCTAAGGAACTGATCTTCCAGTAGTCGGAGGCCTGGGGGGGGGGCACTTTTTGGAGGTTCAGTTGGCCCAGCTCACATCCCCAGGAAGCCAGCCATTTCTGTGATCCCTTGCCCACCACTGGCCCTATTCAGCTGGGGATGAGGGTGGGGGCGGGGCCTCAGAGCAGGTGAGCCCATGGCTCTAATTAAAACTCCCACCTGGAGGGGCTGCCAAGGCATTTTTGTGCCCTGGTGCCTGGGGACTGTAGGCAGAGCTCTTCTCCGCCCCTCTACCCGTGATTTGTAAAAATGGCCCTTGTCCAGGGCGAACCCAGCCCTGCTGGGCCTGGGGTACGCCGCTGGAGGACCTGCGCAGTGCCTGGGGCCCCTTGGCCTTGAGGGACCCTTGGAAATATTTACAATTCTTTAAAGACAAACTTTTAGAGGGAAGAAAAAGCTCTCACGTAGCACACCAATGCATTGTACTTTTGCCAAGGACATGGTAAAATTATTTTTCAGAATTGGTTTCATTCTCCAAGGCCAGCATTCCCAGGTGCCACCATGGCTGGGGTGGCCCTGCAGGGACCTGGAATTCATGGATTGACCCTAACTAAGAAGCACCAGTTTGTCCCTGGGGAGGGAGGGTGCCTCCCTACCTCCCCAGCCCAGGCTCTGGGCTGGCGGACAAGAACCGCAGGGGTTCTACTGGGAGACAGCACAATTACCAGACACCCCAGTTCTTCCTAGGGGCGGTGGGGGTGGGGGTCAGGGGTGCGGAGGATGTCTGAGCGGCCAGAATCGCCATAGTCACTCCGTCTCT